GGGAAAGAGACAGGTGACAAGGTCGTCACCCTTGGGACTAGGCATCCCTTATTTCCTGTCTGTGCACAGGACAAGATGCCAATGCACACTGGATCCCTCCTCTACCACCACTGAAGTCTCCAGTTCCGAGAGCGCAGGGCTGGGTGACAGGTGGTCCTCATCATGCGCTAGGTGAATGTTCGCTATGTACAAAGTGCACAGACAAGTGGCCTGTCCTCTGCTCGAGTCACTGTGGGATCAGGGGCAACGTGGGGAGAGTATTTGTGGCAGTAATTGGGAAATTGTGTCTGGAATTAGAAACGAAAACAAAGGAAGAATCTCAAAAATCAGGCAGGCTTCCTGGAGGAAGAAGACTTCATGAGGGCCTGGTGGTTATTTTCTGGTTCTCTACGCAATTTGCAATGCAAGGACAGGCTCTCACCCGTGTCCACCCTGTTGTGCTGGTACCCCACGCTGGTGTATGTCACGTGCTGGAGAATGAATTTCAAAATCTTCCGGTCATGGGTCGAGATGGTCATCTGCTTCTGGCCTCTGCCCTGCACCACGCCATCTGGAATGTCAGCGAGGGTGTTCAGTGTCCCCAAAGAAGCTGTCAGCGTGACCTAGGTGGATGAGAGAGAAAAACTACAATGCAGGGCGGAAATCATCTCCGGGGGTAAAGGCATGTCCTGAGGATGGCCAGCAGAGGGCAGAGCACACAAGGGCAGAGGACAAGCATCAGGGCGTGGTGGGGTGAGTTGCTTTAGCGTCCTGTAACTTTCAGGGCCCCAGGTCTTCAAGGGCTGTTTCTTGTAACATTAGTAACTCTTGGCTCTCCGCATGCCCTCTAGATTTCTGCTTACTCCACCAGTTGTTGTTTTTTAAACTTTTCTTGGTCAAATCCTTCTGAACAAGTTACAGGCACTGGGAAATTAAGAGCACGTAAGACAGAGTCCCTGCCTTCAAGAAGCTTACGTTCTGGGGAACCAGCAGTTAGCGTAATGGCTATGTTGCTGGACTCCCACGTACTCGGCCGCGGTTCGTGTCCCGGACCCAGTGGCTTAAAACTCACACGGGCGCGTGTGCGTGCGTGCCCAAGATCCCGAGAGGAGAAAGGAGGAGAAGGGATTGCGGCGTGACCATCCTCCCTGGGGGGTGATTTCTCGCTTTCTGTCTCTATGTCTCTCTCTATCTGTCTGGCGAGCGTACGCGCCCTACAGTGAAAATCTCTCCAAAAAAAAAAAGAAGTTTACGTTCTGCTGGGGAAGAGAGGCAGTAAGCGTGTAATCACACACAGAAGGTGATTCGGGTGTAGACATGGTTTATGAAGATGGTTAATAGAGAGTAATGAGAAAGTGACAGGGTGGTGGGGACTTCACTCAGGGGACAGAGAAGGCCCCTGGGAGACAGAGCCACTTGGCCAGTTTGCTCACTCGTCACCAGCCCAACCTCTGTAGAGCACAGAAGTGACAAAACTAAAGCCACATTTCCAGCCTCCTTTTCAGATAGGGATCTGAATGGGCCTTTGGTCCCATGATCAGACGAGTCTGCGTCCCTTGCTTTGGAGCTATATTCCGTGGGGAAAGAAAGGCAGGGCACAGGACTCTTTCTGGCTGGCTGGCCCTGACCCAGCCAGAGGTGACATGGCACAGAGCCCGGGCCTGCAGCTGCTGCCAAAGTGGCCAGTGCTCTGCATGGTCTTGGCAGTCCTCTAGGGACTCTGGCCTCCCCAGTGGTTGGAAATAGCACCATTCCTCCCTCTGCCCACCTTGGGCTCATGCCTGGGTTTAGCCTGGTGAGGTACTCTGCCTGAAGCTGAGGCCAGCCGCAATTACGGGAATGAGGACAGGACGCCACATGCAGAGGGCTGGAAGAGCACTCACCTCGTAGACAGGGGCCTCTGGTCCTTCAAACTGGAGACCTGGACAACAGAAGGACAAGAATAAACCCATCACCCGGGAGGACGCCAAGATCCCCGATGCTCCCCCTGCCTGGCTGGGCCCTCCACATCCTTTCAGAGTCCCTGCAAGCGTCACTCCTACCCGTGTTTGCAGACACACCTCCCCCAGGGCTCTGTTAGATGGAGATCCGCGGTCTTTCCCGAACCCCACTGGTTCTGAAACTGCTGATGCCCATCCTCAGCTTTGGGTGCTGTGAATTAATTCACCCCCTTCCTGGTACCCCTGTTACTGCTGGGAAGGAAACAAGGGAGAAATAAGAGAAATAAGGGCCCCTCCTTATATGAGAGACTGCGAGTTATCACAAATACAGACACAGAGAGCAGAAGGGTGGTGGCCAGCCGCTGCGGGAAGGCTGAGCGAGAGGCATTGTTAGGTGGGTATAAGGTTGTAGTTGGGGGCCAACAGGTGGCATGGAGGTTAAGGCGTTGGGCTCCCACATGGCCAACACAGTTTGAGTCCTAAGCCCAGTGGCTTGAAAATCACACTGGGCACATGTGTGTGCGTGCTCAAAATTGCGGGAGAATGGAGGAGAAGAGATTACGGTGCAGTCATCCTCCCGGGGGGTAATTTTTCACTGTTTCTGTCTCTCTTGAGCGAGCGCATGCACCCTATGGTTTAAAAAAAAAAAGTGTTAGTCAGGGATGATGAAAAAGTTCTGGAGATGGACGGTGGCAGTGATCGTACTAACACGTGACGACACTTAATGCCACTGAACTGTGTCCTTAAAAATGGTCAGCGTGGGGAATTTCACGTTATGTATGTTTTACCACAATAAAAAAATGAATCCACCAAAATGGAAAATCTTTTTCAAATGCCTATTCACAAAAACACTAGCAACTCACCCCAAATGTGTTTATTTTATGTGTGTTTATAACTGTTCTTGGGACCAATTCAACTTTTTACATTTGCCAGCGAACACATGCACGGCCAGAGACAGAAAGTGAGAAAGCGTTGCCCCCACCAGGGCACGATCGTGCTGCCATCCCTTCTCCACTTTCTTCCTCTTCTCAGGGTCTTGGGTGTGCACGTGCATGCACACGGCATGTTTCTCAGGCCTCTGAGTCCAGGACTCAACTACTCAGTTGGTCATGCGGGATCCAGCCGCCTTCACCACCATGCCATGGGCTGACCCCAAATAATTAAAATTCTAATTCAAGGGGCTGGCAGGTAGCGTGGTGGTTAAGGGCGCTAGACTCCCACATGGCCAACTATGGTTCGAGTCCTGGACCTGGAAGCTTGCTTTCTCTCTCTCTCTCACTCTGTCTCTCTCTGGTCAAGTTAAAATAAATAAAGTTAAATAAAACAATTTTTTTAAAAAATTCTAATTCAAAGGACCAGCAGCTGACGTAAGGGTTATGTCGCTGGCTCCCATGTAGTAGACCGCGGTTTGAGACCCAGACCCAGTGGCTTAAACTCACACCGGGCGTGTGTGTGTGCATGCTCAAAATCCCAGGAGAAGAATGGAGGCAAAGGGACTGTTGTGTGGCCATCTCCCCAGAGAGGACGGGGAATAGAGCTGAACCTTGGCCCCAAGCTAAGTGAGCCAGGCTCACCTCACTTCCCCTGTCGGCATCCTTATTTTTTCAGAGAGAGATTTTTGCTATAGGTACATGTGCTCACTGGAGAGACAGAGAGACAAAAAGTGAGAAATCATCTCCCAAGGGGATGGCCACGCTGCAATCCCTTCTCTTCCATCCTCTTCTTGGGCACAAGTGCACACGTGCCCAATATCCTTTTTAGACTTCTGAGTCTGGGACTCAAACTGCAGTTGGGGGGTAGGTTTTTGTTTGTTTGTTTGTTTGTTTTGTTTTGTTTTTAAGAGATTTTTGCTATAGGGTACATGCTGGAGAGACAGAGAGACAGAAAGCGAGAAATCACCCCCACCCAGGGGGGGATGGCCACACGGCAATCCCTTCTCTTTCAGTCTCCTCTTGGGAGTCTGGGTATGCATACACATGCACACAGCATAAGTTTTAAGTCCCCAATTCCAAATTTAAACCATGGTTGGCCACGCGGGAATTCAGTGTCAACCATTATGCCACCTGCTACCTCTGGGAGGGTAGTTTTAACTGGCATAAATATTCCTTTTCAGATGCACTCCCTGGGAATGGGCTTGTACTTGGCCTGCTCCCAGGATGTTGGAGGACACCAAGAATCCAATTATGTCCCAGGACTCTTAAAGGCACACAAATCCTGTCCTCTTCCGTGCTATTTTGGAGCCCCCAGGGAGATCAGAGCTACTACAGGAGATTCCCAGCTGTGGGAACGGTGGGGCTAACACGAAATGAAACCTCATTCAGCCTCATCACCTGCATTGTGCTGAGGCCCTGGCCAGTACCCATGAATGACTGTCCCCTCCTGCTCCTTCCTTTGGCCTGGGAAGAGTAAGGATGTGACCTGGGTCGTCCGAGGATGTCGCTGGACCCACCTGGGATGGGCACTGTGTGCAGGGGCATCACCTCCACTCCGTGGACTGGGTACCCGAAGGGGAGGTTGGGTTGAGCCAGCAGCGGCGGTGGACGGGGCAGCCCTTCTCTGCAGGTTCAGAATGGGGAAGTCAGCAGCTGCCCTGACCCGGTCTCTGGGTAGTCCTCCAAGGGGTGCCCGCCCACAGAGCCTCAAACCAAAAGCAGCTTCTCACCCCACTCTCTTTATTTCTCCAGCTTCTAATCCTAGAAAGGCACTGAGACAGTTTATTACATAAAGAGAACATAAAGATAACAGTTACAACCAGCAAAAAGAGAAGATATGATCAGGTCACAGAGACCAACCCAGCCACCATGGCTGCCTCAGCTGAACTTCCTGGTAGCCAGAGCGTAAAGCAGGCACCAATGGTAGAGCGTGGGGTAAGCCTTCTGCGTCTTGCTTTGACTTAGAAAACATGAGAGCGCTTTCCCCATCAATGTACCTAGACCTATCAAGATCTGTCATTGTTATACACACACACACACAGACACACACACATAATACATGCATATATGTATGTATATACACACACACATCTATATTATATGTATATTATATATATTGGAGGGAGGCTATAGAGTGTGTGCACTTGCCAGAGAGAGGGGGGGAAACTGAGAAACCACCTCCTGGGGGGATAGCCACTCCACATTATCCTCTTTCTTTTCCCAGAATTTTGGCCATGCGCAGCACACACACATGCATCTGGCATGGGCTTTTTTGTTTGTTGGTTTTTCTTTTTTTTCAAGTAGCCAGGTTCAGGACTTGAATCACTCGGCTGGCCGCATTGGATCAAGTCACCTTAACCACCATGTCACTGGCTGCCCCATCACCTTCTGCTTCATGCTTGAATCTTGGCCCTCCAACTTGCTTCTTCCCTCAGGAAGGGAGAAGGACTCAGAAGTCCGCAGGGTCACACATGGCCTCCTGCCTATTACACTCTCCTCTCCTGACTACCGAGCTCTGTACTAAACTGGGGACATAGAAATGGGCGAAACCCCCTTCCTGGAAGTGGGGAGCTCAGACACCAATGCACTGATTGGAACATCCGCTCCGTCACACAGCAGGACGCCCGTTGAGAGCAGGCCCTACTGGATGTATGCGGTTCTAACTCCGGACCTGGCTCCGCGCAGGCGCAGGAGGTGTCCCATCAGCTCACGAGGAAGAGCTGAGGTCCGGGAGCAGCCAAGCCTCTCCCTGCTCACTGGCACAGACCCAGTCCGCAGCAGTCGCTATCGCTGGGCGGTTTCCTTTGGTCCACACCCGCATTGACTGCAGGTGATGGTGGGGCAGGTGAGGACGTGGCGGGAGCTCTGCCAGTTCCTCAGTCTCCCCTGTTTGGAATCAGTTCCGTCTTTGAATTCTTTCTTCCCAGCTCCTTCCAGACTAGTGTCCCTCCCGGCAGGCACTCACCTGCCCTCCCCAACCTTACCCTTTCCACCTCTTCGGATCCCTTTCCTGGTTCTCCTCCCCTCCCAAGGTGCCTCCTGCAGTTTGCACACCTGAGCATTCCCTGCTGGAGACAGACATGGTTTCTTTCACCAGTCCTGCATTTCCCAGGACAGGAAAGCCATCTTCCTAATCGTGATCCCTGCGCTTCCCCGCACACCATCCTCTTATCCCACACAGTTATTGGCCTCACGTTGTGTCGTCCACTGTGCCGGGAGCTTGGGAAAATGGCAGAGAGAAACCAGGAGACAACAGGGGTGCTGTCCTGGCAGGAGGCCAGCCGAGGGTGAGAGGGGAGGACAGGCTCTGCTTGGGGTGACAGCTTATCACAGGTGGGAGCCACAGGACACTAGGCTCACCTGGTGGGAGCTGGCGCCACAGGTGCCCAGGGTCACCTGGCAGGAGGTGGAGGCTGTAGGGCTGAAGGTACCACTGCTAACTACAGAGCCCGACAGCCTCACACACAGCCCTACATCTGTGGCAGAATCACTCTGTATTCCAGCTTCCGGCTTTCAACACCCCCTGCTGGTGCCCTATGTCTTTTCTGGGGAGCTTTCCATTTGTAGGCAGTTGGGGGGGTAGTGGCTGTCTCTAAAAATCAAACCCAGTGGGATCTTTCCCTTCCTATATTTTTTAGAGATTTGTTTGCTATAGGGCACATGCACTTGCCAGAGAGATAGAGACAGAAAGCAAGAAATCACTCCCAAGGGCAGACGATCACATTGCAGTCCCTTCTCCATTCTCCTCTCAGGATTTTGGGCACACACACTCACGTGCCCAGTGTGAGTTTTAAGTCGCTGGGTCTGGGACTCAAACCATAGTCGACTAGGTAGAAGTCCAGCGATGTAACCATTACACCATCTGCAGATCCCTCTCCCTTCCTTTAGATTCATGACTTAGACTCAATTAATTGAGCACTTGGACAGTGGCCTGGGAACAGTTTGTCACTGAGGCCATGGCAACATGGAAACCCGATGGCCCTGGAGCCTGGCCAGGCCTTCAGTGCTCCCGTGGTTCTTAGCCCGCTCTCAGCCTGGTCATCGTATCCCACCACCCATGCTTCTGGTGAGGCCCCAGCACCCTTTCAACAAATTACCTTTTTTTTTTTTTTAAAAAATTATTTTATTTAACATTATTTTTTTTTTTTTTTGACCAGAGAGGGATAGCGTGAGAGAGAGAGAGAGAGAGGGAAAGTGAGAAATCCAGTCACCAGGTTCAGGATTTGAACTGCAGTTGGCCATTAAGGAGTCCACCAGCCTTAACCTTAACCCACACCACCTGCCGCTCCCCCCACACAAATTACTTTTTGACATGAGCCAGCATGAGTCAATGGCACCCTTTCAAACAACAATTGTAGTTGATACGACACAGCCTGAGTGTACACATTTTGCAGTCCTTATTTTAAAAAGGCTGTCTCCTTGCCTAGGAGAGGACGATACATTCTCCACATACACACGAATAAAACAGTGCAACTCCCATGCCTATTGTGGCCGGAGGCTGTGCCATCCACCGCACTCTGTGATTTCAAATGCTCTTCCTTTTTCCTTTTCCACCTGTTTGTTTTTCTTTTGTTATGCAATGCTACACATGCAAAGTTTTATAAATCTTCATTAAGGACCCAGTACCCGTTCCCTGGTATTTATTCCCACCAGTTCTTTCCAGGAACTCCCACAAGAGGAGCTTTCCTCTTTTTCTCCTGGAGCCCACACCCTTAGAACACAGCGTTCACTATGCCCCGGGGCCCTCGCATTACCTCCTCTGAAAGTGTTCAAATTCGGCTTGTCTCCTCGCTTTCACTGCCGGCAGGTCGCTCTGGTTGTAGGCATCCTGCAAGTTGTAACTTCTCTCCTGCGTGGTGGCTTCACATTTGCACTGACTTTTAGGGAAGAGCCTAAAAACAAGCAACAGGACTATAAATACAACCAGGCCAACAGGCTAGTGGGTGAGGGGTGACCTGAGACCTAATCCACTGTGTTATTCACCCCAAAAACCTCCTTCCCCACATCTGACTGTCCTAACTGGGTTCCAACCTTAGAACCCCCCCTTCTCAGAGACACAGGGAGCAGGGGAAGAGAAAGGCTGGAGGCTGAAGACTCCCCCTCCCGTGAGTTATCCCCTGCACCTACTTCTTTAAACCTGAAGGCCACAGGAATGTCAAAGGCGTCTCAGCCCCAATAGCAAAAGAAGTCAGCTACATCTTCCTGCAGTTTTGGGTCAAACAGGCCTCCAAAGGTTTTGTTTGTTTTTGTTTTGTTTTGTTTTGTTTTTTTTAGAGAGGTTTTTGCCTTAGGGCATATGTACTGTGCCAGAGAGAAAGAAACAGAGATAGCAAGAGGAAAAGTGAGAAATCACCCCCCAGGGAGGATGGTCATGCCACAATCCCTTCTCCTCCATCCTTCTCCCAGGATCTTGGGCATGCACAAATACACACCTGGTGTGATTTTCAAGCCACCAGGTCTAGGACTCTAACGGCAGTTGACCATGTGGGAATCCAATGATTGCTATGCCGTCTGCTGGCCCCAGCCCTTCAAAGTTTAAAAGGATTTTTCTAGGTGTTATAGAGAACACAGACTGTACCCTATAGATCAAGCCCTTTCCTGGTCCCTACAGTTTTGAGAATCATCGCAGTTGCAGGAAGTGGGGGACCGTCTGTAAAATGACACCATAGGGTAGAGAACACCATAGGCGAAGCAAGGGAGATGTCCAGACTGGAGTGGATGAGAGACCCCTCAGTATCTCACCAGATTCCATCGTAGGTAAACAGGCTCCTGAGACGCTCCTCAGGTAGAAGCTTCAGCTCCTGGACACCCAAAGCAGAGTGTGGGCGTTCTGGCTCGAGGCTACTGAATGATGTTTGATAGGACAGACTTCTGAACAGAAATAAAAGAATTCCAAGTCCTAAGATTAAGACTGACATCTTAAGGAGCCACAGAATGTTAGAGCTGTTGGGACACAAAAAAAAGCAAATTATGTTAAACTCTTATGTCTTAGGCTGCCCGGTGGCATGGTGGCATGGTGCTGGATCCCACATGGCCAACAGTGCAATTCAAGTCCTGGACCTGGTGGCTTGAAAAACACACAGGGCAAAATCCCAAAAGGAGGGACAGATGCAGGAGAAGGGACTGTGGTGTGACCATTCTCTATAAGAAGATTTTTTGCTTGCACTCTCTCTCTTGCTCTGGCAATTTAAAAATTTTCTAAAAATCAAATGCCTGATCTACTAGGCAGATAAGAGTGGTCATGACTTTACCCACTAAATAACAGCATTCAAGGACACAAAGCAAGGCCAGCCAGATGTCATGGTGGTTGGGGAGGCTGGATCTCACATAACCAACTTTGAGTCTGGAGTCCTGGACACTGACTTGAAAAACACACCAGGCGCGTGTGTGCATGACCAAAACCCCTAGAGGAGAAGGACTTGTGGCATGGTCATCCACCTTGGCGGGGAGAGGGGTGATTTCTCTCTTCCTCTCTCTCTCTCTCTCTCTCTCTTTCTCACTTCCTCTCTCTCTCGCTCTCTCTCTCTCTCTCTCTGGCTCTGGCTGGTGAGCACACACACCCTATAGCAAAGCAAACCAACAAACAAGACCGTGAGACTGGGGCCAGCAGATGGCATAGAGGATAAGGCGTAAATCCTACACGGTCAACTGAGCAGTTCAAGTTCAGAGCCGGTGACTTGAAAAACATACTGGGCACATGTGCTGGAGAAGAATGGAGCAGCTGCGATCGCAATGTGGCCATCCCCCTTGCGGCGGAGGGGGGTGATTTCTCACTCTCTCTCTCCTCTCTCCAGCAAGTGCACATGTCCTATAGCAAATCAAGTAATACAATAATATAGTATTGTGGAAGGCTGCGTAGTAGATCTTGCACATGAACAACTGTTTGTCCATTTTGTTCCCTTCCCCTAACATGGCTGTCTGCTTTTGTAAACCTGCTTGCTTTTTCCGTGAGAGAATAGCTTGTGCTAGCCATATGGAAAACCATATCCAGGATGCCACCCTGTACCTGCTACTGTCTTTGCTAACTAGCCGGAAACCCTTTTGTTTAGCAATGTAACTGCTTGCATGAAACTCCCCTGAGGCATAATTAACCTGCTTGATTCAGCTTCTGTAACTGCTTGCATAGAAATCCCTGGTAACAGACCGCCTATAAAAAGACGACTCCCAACTTCAGTCGGGGCTACAGTGCTGACACTTGGCGCCCTCCTCCCACCCCACCCTCCGCCCCCCCCCCGAACCTCAGACTGTAGTCACTGGCCAGCTAATAAAGACTCCCTTTAAATTTAATCTGGCTTTGGTGGTGGTTCATTCAGTGGCTCTACAACAAACACAGGCTTTAAATGAGCATATTTCTATGAAAAGTATATTCTACATGGAAGTTAATCAGAAGAACTCACAGTTAAACATTAACTCCCAACGCACACCTAGCTCAGCTCTGTGGGTTCCTTCTTGAGAGGTAGCTTACAATCAGAATATATTGAGAACACATAGAGTTGTTCAAGCCAGTTTATAGACCAGTGGAGCCTTTGTCCTGCAGTATTACCTCTTCTTCCCCATGGGCAGATGTCAAATAAACCTTCATAGCACAATGACTTGAAAGATGAAGAAACCAACCTTCAAATATTTCAATTCTGTTAGTCTGTATGACCACTTTGTTTGTTTTTTGTTTGTTTGTTTGTTTGTTTAAAGGTTTTTGCCTTAAGTTACGTGCACTCACCAAAGAGACAGTGACATTGAGAGGGAAAGTGAGAAATCACCCCCTAGGGGGGATGACCACACTGCAATTCCTTCTCCTCCATTCTCCTCCTGGGATCCTGGGCACACATGCACACGTGCCCGGCATGATTTTCAAGCCACAGAGTCCAGGACTCAAACCACAGTCGGTTATGTGGAAGTCTAGCAATGTAACCATCTGCTGGCCCAAGTTTTTAATTGGTTTTTAAAATTTAAAACAGCAAAACAATACAAATTGTCAGGTGAATAGTTTTATTTGGTAAGTATAAATTGATCATTCTGATTTATATAGAAAATATGTCAACCAATTAGAATATCTTTAAAAACTGTGGTTTGGTTTTGTTTGCTATAGAGTGTGTGTGCTTGCTGGAGACAGAGAAAAATCACCCCCCAGGAGGGATGGCCACACCTCAATCCCTTCATTCTCTCTGGATTGTGGGTACCCAGGCATACACACCCAACATGTTTTTCAAGCAACCAGGTCAGTGACTCCAGTCATACACTCAGTCATGTGGGATCCAGCTTCTTTTTTTTTTTTAATTATTTTATTCAATTTTATTCATTCATTCATTCATTTTTTTAATTTGACCAGAGAGAGACAGAGAGAGAGAGGAAAGTGAGAAAGCAAGCCACCAGGTCCAGGACTTGAACCATGGTCAGCCATGTGGGAGTGTCCAGTGCCTTAACCACCACGCCACCTGCCAGTTCCCTGGGATCCAGCTTCTTTAACCACCAGCCAACAGCCGACCCAAAAACTGTATTTTAATTTTAGTGAACTATCTTAGAATGAAAGATGTAAAAAAAAATAATCATTACATGACGATTACTGAAAATACTTCTGACTCCAGAAGGAAGGGGATGGAATTTTTAAATGCAGCTAAAGCAGTACTTAGAGAGAAATTCATAGCCATATGAAAGTTTAGTTGAAGAATGCATTAAGCGGGAGCCAGGAGGTGGCATGGTGGTTAAGTGAGCTAGATTCCCACATGACCCACTACAGTTTGAGTCCCAGACTTGGCAACTTGCTTTCTCTTTCTCTCTGTCTCTCTCTGTATGTGTATGTGTGTGTGTGTCTCACTCTGTCCCTCTGGTCAAATGAAAATAAATGAATAAATAGGGACCAGCAGTTAGCATAATGGCTATGTCACTGGACTCCCAGGCAGTCAACCAGGGTTTACGTCCTGGACCTGGTGGCTTGAAACTCACGCCGGGCATGCATGCGTGCATGCCCAATATCCCGAGAGGAGAATGGAGGAGAAGGGATTGCAGCATGGCCATCCCCCCTGGGGGGTGATTTTTCACTTTCTGTCTCTCTGTCTCTCTCTGTCTGTCTGGCGAGCGCATGCGCTCTATAGCAAAAACCTCTCAAAAAAATAAATAAATGAATGAATGAGTGAATGAATGAATAAATAAATAAAGTTAAATAAAATAATTATTTTTAAAAAATAATGCATTAAGGAATGTGCAGTGAGAGGATGCTGAAGAGTAAGAATGCTGGGGACCAGCAGTTAGCGTCTAATGGCTATGTAGTTGGACTCCCATGTAGTCAACCACGGTTTGAGTCCTGGACCCGGTGGCTTAAACTCACGCTGGGCGTGTGTGCGTGCGTGCCCAAGATCCTGAGAGGAGAATGGAGGAGAAGGGATTGCAGCGTGACCATCCCCCCTGGGGGGTGATTTCTCGCTTTCTGTCTCTATGTCTCTCTCTGTCTGTCTGGTGAGCGCACGCGCCCTATAGCGAAAATCTCTCCAAACAAGAACAAAAACCAAAAAAAAACCTCTCCAAAAAAAAAAAGAAAAAGAAAAAGAATGCTGGGATGAAAATCTGAAGATGGAGATAGCTGATCTTCAGATGACATTAAATATGCTAGGGTCCCTACTTAACCAAGCAGTCAGGACAGCTGTATTCCTAGAATCTAGAACAGTGCCTAGCATATCATAGGAGCATCAAACATTTGTTAAGTGAAATATTAATAAAATATTCATGCAATGAAAAGGCATAGACTTTAGCCTCAGGGAAGTTGAACTCCAGTTTGCTCCTTCCCCTGTGGTCCTTGGGCAACTTCCTTGATTTTTGCAATTGTAAAGTGGGGAGGATAGCAGCTATGGGTCAAAAGGTGCTGCCAGATCACTGCTGGAACAATCTAGAACAGGGCCTATACATCATTTTTGAAAAGTGCCCCATATGGAATGAAACAAAATGAATTTAATATTTAACTAACACGTATTGAGTTTCCAGCATGGCACTGCATGATCATTTTCTGGGTTGCTAGGATATATTGGGGTGAACCACATTACCTCAGAAGGCAGGAATCAGAAACCAGAGGAAGAAACATTGGTTCCCCTATGTCACAGTAGCCTTCAGATGGCAGAGGTATAAAGATCGCAGACTTGTCAATTAAATCATAGACTTTAGGTGCATGAGTCCAGCCTTACAGACATTTGAAGGAAAAGTCAAGTTTGCCAAGGACTTGCCTGCTTGAAATCCCCAGCCTGGAGTCAGAACCCCCAGCTGCCTTCCTGGCCACCATTCAGGATCATGGGGGTGGGTGTAGTCTTGGGGAAAAAAATGCTGAAGGGAAGCCTTAGCTAGGGACAGGGACATGAGGGATGTAAGGACTGGTACTGCCCTCCATCCAGCACGTCCTATGTTCAGGGAGTGCTTCTCTCTAACTCCTTCTTCTTCTTCTAATTTTTTTTTTTTTGTTTTTTGAGAGAGAAATTTTGCTGTAGCATGCAGAAGCTTGCCAGAGCGACAGAAAGGAAGAAATCACTCCCCAAGGAGATGACCACACTGCAATCCTTCTACTCCATTCTCCTCTAGAAATTTTAGGAATTTGGAACACCCATGCACACCCACGCAGTCATCAGAGAATCCATGCGGTGGACCATGTGGGAGTTCAGAGCCATAACCAGTAGGCTATCTGGTGATCCTGCAATCCACCAGGTCCAGGACTCAAACTATGGTCGACCATGTATGTGGGAGTCCAGAGCCCCTAACCACCACGCCATCTGCCAGTTGCCAACCCCTTCTTTTTAATACTTGTAAAATGTCATCCTTGAGTCTTTTTTTTTTTTTTTTTTTAAGATTTCACATTTTCTTTTGAAAATTTTTTTTACTATGTATCTTTTTTAATTATTTATTTTATTTTATGTATTCACTCACTTATTTAAATTTGACCAGAGATAGATACAGAAATAGAGAGGAAAAGTGAGAAAGCAAGCCACCAGGGCTGGGACTTGAACATGGTTTGACATGTGGGAGTGTCCAGCACCTCACCCACCATGCCACCTGCTGATCCTCCAAGATCTTGCATTTTCACAAGATGATTTCTTTATTGGTGTTTAATGATTGCTATAGAGTCTGTAAAACAAACTTTGGTCATAAAAGAGCACGACATGTATTTCTGATATTTCTTGGTAGTTTATGCAAAGTAATTAGACTTCCAAGTTAATTTTTTTTCTACGTTAAGTATTACTCTGTAGAGGTTCTTTAGCGTGAGAGACCTCCTAACAATGGTCCTTCTGCTTTGTGGCTGTGCGTCTGGACCTCAAAACCGACGTTCCAAAATCCCTGACTCTGCCAGCTGTTTTCAGAAGCTGCAGAGGGACCCGGCACGGTTCTCAGACTGCCCAGAGCTGGCGGCCCGGCGCGCGGGTACTCACATCCCGCTGACGGCGAGTGGGTCTCCAGCGTGAGAAAGATCTCAACCCTGGTCAGCACCTGCAGGTCTCGAACAGCGAGTCCAGAACCCTGTGCTTCCTAGACGGAATGTCACGCTCGAACCCCTAGATTGTCCAGAGACCATCGCCACGTCGAAGTTTCCCACAGCAAAACCAGCGTTCCTTCTTCCTGAAGGCGCAGCGTTCGCGTCAGAGCGCAAAGCTTCCAACCCGGTCCCACAGTCTGCTCACAGTGTCGCCACCCACGAGGGGACTTGTTGAACTTAAGAAGGCAAAGTCAGCACTAATGGTCCCGACGTCTGCGCCCCCGCACCTGCCCGTTCCCAGATGGCCCGAGGCCAGCGGCGCTCGGGGGTGACCAAGTTTGACCGCCCGCCTTCCTCTGCGCGGGCGACACTCACCCAGCCAAAGCCATCCCGAATCCCGCAGCCCTCGGAGGCCGGATCTCCCGGAGCCGAGCAGCGGAGCAGACTCCCAAGCTTTGGCACCGACCGGAACAGATCCTGGCCCAGCTGGGCAGGTGGAGGAGACTGCGAGAATTTGGGGCGGTTCCCGCCCACGTCACCCACCTTTGCCCACGCCCCGCCCCGGGGAGAGCGCCTAGAGGTGATAATAATGACCACTGCCATTGTCCCTTGTGTCATTTATTCATCACAATAGTCCTAAGAAGTGCGTGTAGTGAATAGCCCCACTTTCCGGAGGAAACAGGCGGAGTGGGGGTAACCAGCCAGGAAGGGCAGGAGCTGGGGCTGGAGCGGAGTCCTGGTGACCTGAAGTGGGCGCGCTGGGCACTTTCTGCCCCTCGGGCTAGGAGCTCCCACATGGGCCACCAGGGTTGGGGCCCCAGACCCCTCTGCTGGAAAATCACACCCAGCCGGGGGGAGAAGAAGAGGCTAAGGGGTGATTTCTCATTTTCCATCGCTCTGTCTCTTGCGAGGGCAGCGCCCTGTGGCGAAATTCTTAATCAACCAAATACAGGACGCCTTGGCTAACCGCCAAGCAGGAGGGACTCCAGCGCTGGGTGGTTGAACGAGTAGTGTCCACTTCCCTGAGAGGCCGTTTGACTGCCATTGCAGCCCAACCTCGGGAAGGAGGGGGTGCGCGAGGTTGGGAGGGAGCCTCACGTGATCTGGGTGGGTTGCGCTCCCTACTTACCCAGCACTAAGTTCCCTACTTCCCCGGCGCTTCTCTCGTGCAGGCCGTCCACCTTCCTCGGCTGCCCGAGCCAGTCGGGCACCGCGGGCCGCACCAAGCATCCTACGCCGCCGGCATGGCCACCTGACTCCGGGGCTTCGGTCCTGGCCGCCGGTGTCCATCTCCTCCTCCGCCTCCGCCTGCGATCGGACTTCTCTCTCCACTTACAGAGAAACCGGATCCCCTCGCCCACCGGGAGCCTTCCACTCCTCTGCGTTTACCAAACTCAGCTTTTGCGTCGCCTCTAACCTCTCCTTTACCCTACACTCCAGCGGAACTAATCTGGCAAAAGACGCCGCAGGGAGAGAAAGCTAGAGAAGGGTTCAGTCCCTCTACCAGACTGGGACGTTATGCCGCCAGGTAACGTCTCTGGGGCTGGAAGAAATTTCAAATGAAGTTAGCATTTGCGGGACCCTTTTTTAAAGTTAGGCACCAGTGCCAAATTGCTTCCAATGGCTCATCAACTGTGAGCATATGGTGTTTGACCCAGCTAAAAGAATGTCTAGAGGGGGAACCAGCAGTTAGCGTAATGGCTATGTCACTGGACTCCCACGTAGTTGACCGCGGTTCACGTCCCGGACCCGGTGGCTTAAAACTCACGCCGGGCGCGTGTGCGAGCGTGCCCAAGATCCCGAGAGGAGAATGGAGGAAAAGGGATTGCAGCGTGACCATGCCCCCTGGGGGGTGATTTCTCGCTTTCGGTCTCTATGTCTCTCTCTGTCTGTCTGTCTGGCGAGCGCACGCGCCCTACAGTGAAAATCTCTCCAAAGGAAAAAAAAAATGTCTAGAGGGACCAGCAGTTAGCTTAATGGCTATGTCGCTGAACTCCCATGTAGCTGACCCGATTTGAACGCCGGGCGCGCTTGCTTGTGTGCCCAAGATCCCGAGAGGAGAATGGAGGAGAAGGGATTGCAGCGTGGCCAAACCCCCTGAGGGGGGGTGATTTCTCACTTTCTGTCTCTCTGTCTCTCTCTGTCTTTCTGGCGAGCGCATGCGCCCTATAGCAAAAACCTTCAAAAAAAAAAATGTCTAGAGTAAACACAAAGATGGCGGTGAAAAATCCTGCCAGGCAGGCACTGTCCCTATGTATAAACACTGTATATTTAATTATACTCTATTGTGTGCCAAAGAGGATGTAAGATAAGGATTCATAAAATACAAGGTAGTATATAAAAAAAGGGGATGAGCCAGCAGGTGGCATGGTGGTTAAAGGTGCTGGACTCCGGCATGGCCAACTGAGGTTCCTTTTCTCACTTTCCCTTTCTCTCTGTCTCTCTCTGATCAAATTGAAAAAATAATAATAACAAATGGAATTAAATAAATACATCTTTTTTAAAAATTGCCACTAACCAAGTGAGTTTGGAAAGAGAGTAGAAAGAAATTTGATCCCAAATTCAGTTAAAGTTTTCTGTTTGTTAAATAATTATTTATTTAATTTTTTAAAAATGTTGCTGTAGGGCATGTGTGTTCACCAGAGAGACAGGGAAAGAAAGAGAAAGTGAAAAAAGCAAGCTGTCAGGTCCAGGACTCAAACCACCATCAGCCTTGTGGGAGTCTAATGCCTCAGTCACCATGCTACCGGTGAGGCATCTACCTAGGACAGCAGAGTGCAGTTGACTGAAAGCCTGTGAGGCAGACCTGCCATGTTCTGGATTCAGGGCCTCCTGGGGAAACTGACCCCGGAGGACATGAAACTGAAGATGCATGAAGGCGTCATCTCCTCCATATGGAATTTCCTCATCTATGTGGCCCTGCTGAGAGTCACTCCTTTCATCTTAAAGAAATTGCACAGCGGATGAAGATTGGACATCACATATTATATGAAGAACCTGGTTACAACATCTACTCCTGTCTGCAGATGAATAGACCCAGAAAGATGTAAAAGACTCTTTGATGAATGGACATAAAAATTTCATTTGTTAAGGGGGCCAGCAGGTGGCGTGGTGGTTAAGGTGCTTGACTCCCACCTGGCTAACCATGGCTTAAGTCCCAGACCTGGAGGCTTGCTTTCCTACTTTCACTTACTCTCTCTTTCTAGTCAAATTAAATGAATAATAATGATGATAATAAATTAAATAATTCTTTAAAAAAAGAACAAGTTTGACTCTGGTACCTAAAATTCATAGCTAAAATATAAAACTATTGGGATGTATGGAAAGACATCTTGTCACAGTGTGTCCTTATGCCTGTACTATTTGGCCTCCATGAATGTTGGTGTAATTATAAATAATGCATCTTCTAGCAGCTATTAATTATAAGAAAATTATGTCTAGGGGCCAGCAGGTGGTGTGGTGGTTAAGGCACTGGACTCCCACATGGCTGACTGTGGTTCAAGTCCTGGACCTGGTGGCTTGCTTTCTCACTTTCTCTCTCTCTCCTCTCTGGTAAACACTCGAGCCCTGGAGCAAATTTAAAAATAATAATAATAAAATGAGGGACAGCAGGTGGTATAATGGCTATGTCACTGGACTCCCATGTAGTTGACCGTGGTTCTAGTCTCAGACCCAGGGGCTTAAACTCATGCCGGGCGCGTGTGGGTGCATGCCCAAGATCCCAAGAGGAGAATAGAGGAGAGGGGATTGTGGCATGGACATCCCCCTGGGCAGTGATTTCTCGTTTTCTATCTATCTGTCTGTCTCTGTCTTTCTGGTGAGCGCACGTGTCCTATAACAAAAACCTCTCAAATAATAATAACAAAATGATAAGTAAAATTAAATAAATAAATTAAAAACAAAATTATGTCTGGAAAAAAATCACTATGCCATCTGCTGGCCCACCGTTCTTTTTTTTTTTTCATAAGGCACATGCAGGGACCAGCAGATGGTGGTGTGACTACATTGCTGGGCTCCCACATTGTCGACATGGTTTGAGTCCCGAACCCAGCGGCTTAAACTCATGCCATGCTCAAAAGCCCGGGAGGAGAACGGAGAAGAGTTTGCAGCAGTAATAATATAATATAATATAATATAATATAATATAATATAATATAGCACATGCACAAGAGAGACATGTGGTCTAGTGCCTAATCATCGTGCCACCTACTGGCCCCAGTTTGCTTGTTTTTAATAGGGCACACACAGAAAAGAGAGACGGAAAGTGAGAAGTCACTCCCCATTCTCTCAGGATTTGGGGCATGGACACATTTACACTCAGCGTGTTTCTCGAGAACTCAAACTACAAAGTCAGCCATGTGGGATCCAGCTGCCTTAGTCACCACACCACCGGCTGGTCCCAGCTTGAGCTTTTCAGAAGTCTGCAGAAAGACAAACCTGCTGGGAGAGAGTTCTGACGCAGCTACTGCAGATAGCTACTAGGTCATCAGAAAAGTCATCACATATTTTTCTGTGTTTTTCTACGCAAAAATGTGTCGTAACTTTCCCAATGATCCACTATTTTCTTTCTTTCTTTTTCATTTAACTTGCCTGAGAGCTGGGACTGGCAGATGGCATAATGGTTACATTGCTGAACTCCAACATAGTTGACTGTGGTTCAAGTCCTGGACCTGGCAGCTTAAAAACTCATGCCGGGCATGTGTGCTGTGTACCCAAAATCCCAAGAGAATAGAGGAGGGATTGTAGTGTGGCCAACTTCCTGGGGGATAATTTCTGTTTTTTTGTGTCTCTGTCTCTCTGACAAGCACACATACCCTACAGCAAAAATTTCTCTTTAAAAAAATTTTTTTTACAGGTTTGTTTCATTCATTCATTTTAATTTGACCAGAGAAGAGAGGGGAAAGTGAGAAAGCAAGCCACCAGGTTCAGGACTTGAACCGTGGTTGGCCATGAGGGAGTGTCCAGCACCTTAACTACTACACCACCAGCTGGTTCCCCCCCCCCGCCCTAAAATTTTTTTAATTAGCCAGAGAGCACGTGAGCTGGCTGGGGAGAAAAAATGAAAGAGCACCCCCTTCTCCCCCAGTGGGGCATGGTCATGCTGCAATCCCTTCTCCTTCATTTATCCTTCTTTGGGGATTTTGGACACACATGCACACAAGCCCAGCATGTTTCTTGAACCTCTAGCCCCCTCTATGGGCTGGAGTCGAGCAGTTGGTTGTGCGGGATCCAGCTGCCTTAGCCACTAGGCAAGAGCTGGCCCATAGACAACTATTTTCTAGCTCTGGACTGAAAGAAGGATTATTTTTTAATTGTCAGAGAGGGAGAAAGCACCCCACCATGGGTTGTGGTCTCGCTGCAATC